TAGTTGAAATTATTGCCTGCTTCTTAACCTGTCTCTTATACACAGAATGAAAGTTGTAGGTTTGCGTCCACCGCCCGCATGCCTAAAAAGCTACCGCACGAAAATTTTCATTATTTTGAAAAGTTCATTATTTTGAAAAAAAATATACTTCATTTTAAAAAACGGACTTTCTGAGCCGTAAACAGACAGAAAAACGATCTATTCATCACTGATCACTGGTCGCGAACACCGAGCGAAGGCAGGCCTGGCCACATCGCACCATGCTCGCCGATCACTGCTGATGTCATTTACGGGTCAAATCGATCTTTCTGACCAATAGGAAATCTTGTATGTTTAAAGATGTCTTAAATGTTGAAAAGGATCTGTTTTATAGGCTAGTGTACATTTATGACTGTAAGCATTGTTTCTTGGGAATAAATGTAAAATTACCAATGCCGCGGCTTGTGGACAGCATTTATTAAAAAAATAATGAAAAATGAAAAAATGCCTCATGTGTTTTCAAAATTTTTCGGACGCAAACCTACAACTTTTATTCTTGTGGCCTTACTAATTTATATTATTATTACAATATTATTATTTTTTTTTTTTTTTTTTTTTTTTTTTTTTTTTTTTTTTTTTTTGATGAAAATTAATGGAAAAAAAAACTTTACATAACCCAGGGTGGGACCCCAACAGGTACTCACCCCTCGCATCAGTTATTTTACATTGCACTTGAAGTTTGTGAGAAATAATATAATGACAATCAACAGTAATATATTCTGTTTTGATATACGTATGTTAATGTTTTTTTTAATATTATTATTTGTAATTTTATCGGTTTTGTTGTTTTTATGTAAATTTTTTTGTCCAGTTTTTTCATGTCCAATAATTAATGAGTTTTTAATATGCCCTTATTATTCACTTATTTAAAAAATGTTTTTTTTTTTTTTTTTAATCATTTTGTGTTTCTTTTTAGCTTAGTTAATTAGGTTTCATGTACAGTACTGTGCCCTTTCTTTCCTTGGTTACTTGCATTTTAACGGCTTCCTTGTTTTTTTAAGGTGTTGTGGATGTTCTGAATTTTGCCTTGTACAGTTTTCAAATTTTTAACTCTTATTCATTGTAATGCATTCATATACACCGTTGGCTGTCTGTAATTTTATACATTTTATGAATAAAGACCTTGAATAATAATATATGTATTTTTTTCTTTGGCTTTTTAGCATTTATGAATTTTGCATGCATAAATATTTTAATTTAGTCATAAAATTACAAACTGTGTTACAATTAGTTTGATTTATTTTACTTCCAATTCATTGACGTTGCAGCTGTGTACAGATGGTGGCTAACTTTTATGTGACCCCATGATTTTTACAATCCATTAACAATCATTATATGAGATCAATTATTGGATCCATACAAAATCCCAGAGGCACAAAGGAATTATTCACGCAGGTTATTGACGTAATCATTTTGTTTTAGTCTACTATATATTTAATAAATTTGAATCCTTAATTGCCCGGACAAATCCCTTAAATAGGTATTTAGCACAAAAAAAGGCTAGTGACAAAATAATTAAAAGGTTAGAGCTATATTCACATGTAAAGGATTATTTTAAACAAATAAAAAACAAAAAAAAACCTCCACTTTTAAAGGTTGCAGTCTACCAAGGGGCCTAAATAATTAATTATATTTTTATCATTATTTTTATCTTTTGTATTTACACAGCTCAAGCTCAGATATGAGTGGTTATGCTGACAACCAACCAGAAGTGTCCTTAAAAGTATATGTAAAACAGTTGAGGAAACATTCCAATTTTCAATGGTTTGCTGCAATGAACCTTGTACAGGTAAATACTCAATAGAAGTTTTAATAAATTTACTGTATGTTTCAATTATATGTTCTTGGGTAAGATAATTCAAATCTTATGGCTGGATTCCAAATCCTGGATACTTGTTTTTGTATTTATTTCTTTAATGCAACAAAATCCTATAAATTATAACAATAAATAACATTTCTTGGTTTTACATGATTATAAAAATTCTCCCTTATAGAAACTAAAATGATGAGATCAATAATTAATTAATTTAAAATTAAATAAATTATTAATTATTGATAAGCTCCACTCAGAATCTTCATTTAAATGAAAGGAGAAAATGGTGTTAAATACTATATTATTTTTTTTTCTTTTAGGTTTTTCACTGTCATTTCAACAGTAATTTCTTCCCATTGTTCCTAGAACATCTGCTTGGCGAGCAACTGTCTTCATCAACAGCTTCGCTGCTTCTTGGAGCCTCTTTCATGGCTCCACATATCAACAATCTCTATTTTCTGTCATTGTGCCGTAAATACGGTGTATATACTGTGATACAATACCTGTTCTACATCAAGTTTTCTCTCAGTCTCTTCATGTTCTTTATTGGACCAAATTATGTTGTATTTCTCTGCTTATTTATTGCAAGGTAAGTTTAAAAAAAATTGTTTGGAGCTCCTCTAAAAAATGTTGTATAAATAATTTTAAAGCCCTCTTCAGAATATTAAATTTTTTTGGACAAAAATAAGTGACATGCCAAAATATGGTCACTATGACATCACATCATGAGCATATATAGGCATGTCATGACTATATATGGGCATGACTATATATGGGCATACAACAGTGTTTTGTCAAAGAAAATTTGATAGTCTTTAGTCTTTTAGTCTTTTTAGTTGACTTAAAGCTGATGATATTGATGTCAACAGTCTCATACTTTCTCTGCACATGATCACTTCCTTTATCCATAGTCAAGAATTTGACAATAAGGAGGTTTCGCATGCAAACACATACAATTAGTGTGACGTATACTTCGTCATTTATGACGTCATACACTGGTTGCTATCGGCTAACCGTGTGGACGACACGCATGTCTCACTCACTACACGTAAGGGAAAAAATGTATTCGTTTGCATGCGAAACCTCTCTATTATCAGAACATGGAGGAATTAGTTTAGTCTCAACTAATTTCTCCATGATCAGACATCCCATAGCATTGAAATTCATTTTTTCCCATTTTCTGTGGGCTTGTAGAGATAGATACTTATGTACGAGTGCCCTTCATTTGCAATTCCATTTTTCAGCAATCGTATATTTACCGAAGGGACCTGTAAGCTCCTGAATCTAGTTATAAGTGACCTTGTCGACGAAGACTGCGTTATTCACGGTCGTAAGCAAGCCGTGTCGGCATTGATGTTTGGGACCACTGCACTACTATCAAAGCCAGGCCAGACTCTAGCACCGCTCTTTGGAGTATCATTACTTGCATTTGAAACAGGTAAAATATTATATGGCTATATTTTGACTACATGTTTTATATTTTAATAAGTTGATTTCTTTCAAATACTGGGGTAGTGGGAGATTTATCACTGTTCATGGAATACAAAAAAATTAATGTCTGTCCCTTTTCCACCATAATAATAATAATAATATTAAATGATAATAATACAGAGCTTTTTGATTCAAGCGACGACGTGGACTAAGATGGATTCAGTCATCCTTGACTGTCTACACAACATAGATTCAGGCCATATTGGCGAGTCAAATGGTTTTAAAAAAAAAGTTAAAGGTTATTCATTTATATTTATTTATATTAATTTTATACTTATATTTATAAGGCAGAGGCGCCACAACCTACATCCATAATATCGGCGCTGTTTCAAACGACACACTCGTCACTTATGTGACGTTATTACGCTCTAGATTTTACAGTCGTGCAATTGAAAACAGTACTCTCTAATATTTACTTGACCTTTTTAAACAGGATATGACATCTTTGCCTCCGACCACGGTGGGGCTTTGAAGATCAACAATGCGGCTTCAGAAAACGAGGATCTTCTACGCAGTGGCTGTTTCAACTGTCTAGTTTACATCCCTCTGCTCTGTGCACTCCTGCAAATTGTGCTATGGTCAAAGTTCACACTGCATGGCAAGAGACTTAATTGGGTGAAAGATGTCCGAAGTGGGGCTGCATGGTATACAGTTTAAAGTTCAAAGGTCATTCCACATATGTTGACCAAAAATAGTATATATACTGACATCTTGGTGTTAAATACTATATTATTTTTTTTTCTTTTAGGTTTTTCATCCTGTCTCTTATACACATCTAGATGTGTATAAGAGACAGTATATATATATTATATATATATAATTTTTTTTTTAAATGATAATAGTAATAAATAACTGTAAATACTGCGATAGTACAAAGGGGGATGCGAGCCATCATGATTTAATCTCTGTAACTTTATTTGTTTAAAGGAAATATTATGGGTGCTGTTGTTGGATGTTTTATTTGCTTTTATTTAAAAATCCTCTTTTTTAAGGCTAAATGCCAACTAGAGGTGGGAAATCATGGTTGCCACGCAAAATCCTGACAAGTTGTATGCATTGACTGCAAAGGAGAAGATATACAGTACCAGTAATATATACTGCTGGGTCCTGGAGGATAACAGTGCTTTTGAACTAATGAGGTCACCCAGGGTAAAAAACTAAGATTTATATAAACAAGACAAGGAGTGCAGAAATATTAATATATATGATTGCACTGGTTGCTAAAATATTTTTCTGTCCTATTTTCTGTCTCTTATACACATCTAGATGTGTATAAGAGACAGGTATATGGCTGTCAAAAGTTTGCATTTTTATGTAGTATGCTGGTCACAAGATTATATGAAAAATGATTTCTTTATAACCAATGAGCTATATAGTAATTTAAAACTATATATACAAATAAGGAATGGAGTTTGGAAGTTAAGATGCTTGCCTACCAATTCTTTGGCCGTGGGTCCAAGCCCAAAAACAGTTACACTCTGTAACCCACATCAATAGGTTATGAAGCATCATTCCATTGAAATGGATGAGTTAAGTAATAAAGATATGTAAAGAATATATATAAAAAAGTAATAATTTTGTTACATTTTTCTTTTCTTGACATCAAACTAATAATTTTCTATACACTTTTAACATAAAGGAAAATATAGTGGATAAATATTAAAATATATGAGTTTCTGTACAGTCTGATTTTTTAAAAATAATTTTAAAACATCAATGTTTTTCATAACTACTTAAAAGGGGCTTCTTGGGTTTGGGTTTGAAAAAATATATAACACACTTTAATGTGATTAATTACAAAGTTGTTGGCAAGATTTTCGTGTGGATCTGAGCTCTTTAGAACAGAGCAATCAAAAACTTGCAAAAAGGCTGCCTTCAGCAGCCTTTTGCGAGGCGGTGAGTTGTATAGTATTAAATATTACTACGTCTAATAACTTTAATTTTTGAAGAATTGCAAATGAAATAAGACAATTGAAAAAAGACAGATTACTTTTTAAATAAAGAAAAATTGTGCTTTGTTTTTAAATGTTGAGGGCACTGCTGATGATTGTTTTCGTATGCGTTCATTAGGAAAGATTAAAGATAGCAATATTGACGAAAGTAGATATTTCGAATGGACAAGTGTGGAGTGTATCAAACTTAATAACTGACCAATCACAAAAGAGCCAGGGATAAGCGCTTGTCCCAGAAGCACGTGTTGTCCCAAACGCACGAGTTTACGTAAGTTTACGTTCGTTTTATAAGATCTTAGCGTGGGGATGGGATCCGATGTACACTGCGAGAATGTAGGCCTAAAGCCACATTTATAACTAGACACGACACCGACATATCATCGCGTAGTTTGCATTTTTTTAACAATGTGCAGCTGTATCGTGTCGTTGCCGTGTCGTAATCTTGTCTATTGTAAATGTGGCTTTAGTTGTCTGGCGAAGTAGAGTATATACACTGTACATGAATTTTAAAGAACAAAATAAATTTGTTTATAGGTCTACAGTACTTTAGGTGATTTAATGACAGTTAATACACTCCATGATACAGATTGATGTTACAGTCGCCCATCTCGAAAAGAAGCCCATCCACACTGAGTTATCAAAAAATACTAAAAAATTAATAAATAAAAAGACGTCTATTTTGGGGTTTTTTTTAATGTGTTTTAAACATTTATAAATCAATGGTAAAAATGTTTTCTTGAAGGCTTACGGCAAGTATCATTATCAATAACAGAATCCTAAGACCTTCGGTACACCATGTGTAAAAATATAATTTCTGAGGTATTGTCTCGGCGTTTCGTTAAGATTGCTCTGAACGTCATCAGGTAAAAAGTGTTAAAGCAATTATAACAAAAATAAATTAGAAGTATAAGCCTAATGTAGGCCTAATAATAAGTAAAGCGTTGAAAAAGCTGGACGGCGCCAGTGGCTGTTTCGGTTGGATTTGAACCAACAACCTTTTGATTAGCAGTCAAAAATACTTCCGTTTGTACCACGATGTAGCCACATAACTTAGCCAGCAACAGTAAGTGTTGTAAATAAGACTTTCAATGCGTAGAGAAGGATGATGCAATAGCATGAAACACAAGGCTATAGATCCGGTACCGTGCCACTAGATACGGCTTCTAGAGACACGTTTATTATTATTATTATTATTATTAATATTATTATTATTATTATTATTACATTAGTATTATTAATAAATAATTATAATTTATTATCATTAATTAATAGTAAATATCAATCAAAGGAAATTCTCGTAATAAACCTTACATCCAAAAGTTTAATATGGATTAAAAAAATACACCTCAAGACAATAAAATAAGAAAAATTTCAATATTATTCAAGAAAATGCTGAGACGTTATTTCATTGCTGTTTTATCCAATAAATAATATAGTTAATAAAAATCCTGTCTACAAGTACAGTACCCATTCCATAATACCATTGTGTGTCTTCGATTATCTGTCACCAATACACTAGAATGCGTTACAACAATGGGTGACAATTTGCTAAGTAATGTAGGCGGGGCATAGCATGGATTGCGTCATTGTTGTGACATTTATAAGGGACTAAAATATTCTTTACATGGCTGGCTAAGCTATGTGGCTTCATCGTAATACAAAGGTAGTATATTTGACTAAAGATCAAAAGGTTGTTGGTTCGATCCCAACCGAAAATAGCCACCGGCGCCATCCAGCCCTTTTTTCCTTTTTTATATCTTGTCATTTATGAATAATTTTAAAATATAATAATTTGGACATTTATGTTGATTTTAAAACTATATCTTAAAAATAAACATGCGTGCAATTTTAAACCTTTTATACTAGTATCAGTCAAAATATTCTATATTTAGAAATTATTAATTATATTTTCAGTATCAGTTCCAACCCTTATATTTACCGTGTACCGTTAGTTGTGGGCTTAAAGAGGAAGCTCCGGAACCATATTTGACGAAAAACTTGGGAGCGGAATAATGAGATACAGATTTTTTGAGGGGTGGGGACGGAGTTGAAAGGAGTATAACCACCCCTTTTCCACTTTACTGGAGGGTGCATACGGCCGGAAACCAGTAGTGGTGAAGATGCAACCATAACACTACTATACGGTATATGAAATTCAAGTGATTTGGAATAGATATGAACACAGATTAATAATTACAATAATAAAAATGATGGTAATATTAATAATAATAATAATATTAATAATAATAATAATAATAATAATAATAATAATAATATAATAATAATAATAATAATAATAATAATAATAATGATAATAATAATAATAATAATAGTAATAGTAATAGTAATAGTAATAATAATGATGATGATGATGCCACGATGATGATGATGATGCCACGATGATGATGATGATGATGATGATGATGATGCCACGATGATGATGATGATGATGATGATGATGATGACGATGACGATGACGACGACGACGACGATGATGACGACGATGACGATACATATAATGGTATCATAATGTTGGAGAGAGATATATCCAGTAACAACAGAGCAGTCTCCCCATAGTGTGCTTACCTCGGCCCTGTGCCTGAATACCAACAATAAGATAATATGTAATAGTGATATCGTAGATTTTTAATAAACGCCGCGGCCCGTACATAAGCATAATATGCCAGGGGCGGATTCAGAGATGTCTGAATCAGAGATGTTTCGGTAAGATTGCTCTGACCGTCATCGGGTTAAAAGTGTTAAGTAAAGCTTTTAAAAGGATAGAGATGTAATGGTATGAGACACACGGCTACAGATACAGCTGTCTCTTATACACATCTAGATGTGTATAAGAGACAGCCTTTTGCGAGGCGGGGAGTTGTATAG